GCACTTCTATAATTACTTTAATTGGAAACTATGGCACAACCCAAAAAGAAATCTTGGACAAATAAATTGGGATGGAGGGAGTAGGAGAAAGAATAGACATTTCCAATATCAATGACAACGGATCACAATGCAGTCTCATAAGTCTTTGTATGAACTACAATGATGACTTTATAACAAGATGTTATGCTTGTAGAATTTATTGTCATGTTATGCCTAAATTTATCTTTAACCTTCCATAATGATCATATATTATTTTCACATGTACGAATAATATATTTAGACATCGTAGCAATGATGGGTGTAATTATTTGTTATTGTTTTGTCTAGGGGTGGGATTAGGATCATCTCGACCCTGATTACAAAATCTAGATCCTGATTAAACAAAAAAATGCTCCCAAATCCATCCCTAATAAATTGGGATCCCGACAATGAAATCCCAATTAAGTTAGGATCTTGATTGGCATACTTAGAGCTGGCAAAAAATGACCCGACTTGTTTTGACCCAAAAACTTACCCAAAAACATTGGATTTTGAACAAAGGTTTTGTTGACTGAACCCGAAGTTGAATAAATCCAAAATGACCCGCTAAAAATGAGTCAAACCCGACCGAACTTAAACCTGAACAGACTGACTCCCTAATGTTAGAGTTTTTCATAATCATATACTTTACTATGAAATATAATGTTATAAAAATCAGGTTTTAATTATATTTTTTCTTATTATTCATTTTTAGTGTATAAATTTATACTTTTGGACAAAATTTTAATGATATTGCATAATTATCTTACTTTTTTCCAAAAGTTATGCATTTTTAAATTCTTTATATTGATTTATATACTTCGAATTTACTTCAGAATTTAAAATAAAACAATATAATAGATTTATTACATATTTTTTGATATTTTAATTTTATTTAATGTGAAATGCAAATGTTAATATGAATTTAAAATTTTAAAGACTAAAGTAATAACCCATTGGGTCGACCCAAACGAGATGATACTCGGTCATAAACATACAGTTCTCAACCCAAACCCGAATTGACCCAAAACCGAAGTGACCATATCCGAACCTGACCTGACTGACCAATTTGCCAGCTCTAGGTATGCCCTATAAATCTTGACATCAAAGTTTATATTTTGTACTATGATATATAGTTTTGTCAACAAGTGAAAATCACTAACGAAGCACTCGTAAAATTAATCTAGCAAACCATTAGAAAATTTTAAAAACTTAATATCACCAATATAAATTATAATTTTATTTTTAGAATGACAAGTACAATATTAACAGCGTCTGAACTAAAAGTTAAAAAGATTACAAATTTAAAAATTCTATGCATGCATACATTCATATAATCATACATGTGTGCATTATTTATTTTTTGTTTAAAATTTTCAATTTTTTTGAAATTTTTTAATTCTTAATTAATGATCCACATTAATTTTTTACAGAGTATATATATTTTTTTACTTTTTCTGTCACGTGTAAGGTTTGTTGGGACGGGACTTAATTTAAAAAACATATCCCGTGACTAAGTTGGGATTAGGATAAAATTCCGACTAGTAAGGATCAGGATTATCGTGATTCAAGATTTTTTCCCAACCCTTAGTCGTGTCCATTATTCAATCATCCTGCACGGCTTTCAAGCAACACATTTTATTGTCATTTTTTTCTCTTAGATTCTATGTCTCTAGGGTTAAATTAATTCTTGTTCATTGGGCTATCATGTTTTTCCATGTTTGTATTCCAAGTTTCAAATGAAACTTCATTTACTACCTTACTGTTGGATTTTCCCCACATTTATCTTAAAAATAACCCAATAATGCTTTAAATGACTATTTAATTAATCACTTGCCTGTCCCCAAAAGTCTAGTTGAGGTTCTAATTCCTATTAATAGGCTCTAGTATTACAAAATTCCATTTTCAGGGCCCTAAAAGGCAAACATGAAAATCCTAAAACCCTCAAATATAGAACAGCTAATTACATATTCTGCCACTCATGCTACGCTGCTAAACTAGAGAGGGCTCAAGGCATTTTGCCTTCCTCAATTTTACCCACATTATATTTGGTACTGCCGTAGTGCTGTAATCCGATTCNGAAGATGTACGCAATGTCTTACCCATGTTACGAGGTTTCATTTATATTCTTTGATGGATCAATGCATTTAGTGCCCAAAGCTTCATAGAAAGTATGAAAGGAGGGATATTTAATGTGTCATTTTGATTTTGTCTATTATTCCCCTGAAGCTGAAATGTTGTCAAAGTGACCATTTTAGCTCCTTAGGCAATACATGAAATGCCTGCCCGGCCACATAGCTTTAAATTCTAAATATCCCTATGGTTTGACCCTTGCACATCTATTAATCTATGTTTGGTGAATTGGTGATGAAAAAATCTTCTTCACACACACACACACACACACACACCTGTGTTCATTTGCATTTAATTTGTTAATGTGTTAAGAGTTTGAACTGCTATTTAGAAGATGCTGGACTTTGACAGTCTGAATCAGAGTATTAGGCGATGCCTTAGTATAGGGCATAGATGATAAGGAGTATAATGTAAGTATGTATTTGCAGATGCATGGAATTTTCTTTGACTCCTTCATCTCTTCTAAATTTAACATCTGCAGGGCCGCATATTAGTTTTTATTGTTGAGGATGGGAAGCTCCAACTAATTGCAGAGAAGGAAACTAAAGGAGCTGTATACTCATTAAATGCCTTTAATGGAAAATTGCTTGCTGCAATCAATCAAAAGATTCAGCTATACAAGTGGATGCTCCGCGATGATGGTACACGTGAATTGCAGTCTGAGTGCGGACATCATGGCCATATACTAGCCCTCTATGTTCAAACTCGTGGAGATTTCATTGTTGTAGGTGATCTGATGAAATCAATTTCTCTGTTGATATACAAGGTAAGTCTTGTATTTTCCCCCCCGAAACATACGTCATATGCAATTCTAGATTTTACAACCTCGGAACCTCTTTATAAGTCTTGCTTTTATGCCAACTTTCCTTTTCTATACTCAATCAACCATTTACTTCATCAATTTATGTTTTGACATGTTGACTCATCTACACAACATGGATGAGGATATTCTTTTTTAGAGGGTAAAAGTGAATATTGATCACATACCATAGTTCTATCTATATCTGTGCAAAAAGCAATTGTGACCGTTAGATTGGACGGAGGGAGCATACTAAACTAAAATATGTGATTAAAGATGGTCTGGTCTCTCTTTTTCTTCTTATAGCATGAGGAGGGTGCTATTGAGGAGCGGGCTCGTGATTACAATGCGAATTGGATGACAGCTGTTGAGATCCTTGATGATGATATATACCTTGGCGCGGAGAACAACTATAACCTCTTCACGGTTAGGAAAAATAGCGAAGGCACAACCGATGAGGAGCGAAGCCGTCTTGAAGTGGTAGGTGAATTCCACCTTGGCGAGTTTGTGAATCGCTTCCGACATGGTTCTCTGGTCATGAGACTCCCGGATTCGGACGTTGGTCAGATACCCACGGTCATCTTCGGCACGGTGAACGGTGTTATTGGACTCATTGCCTCACTTCCATCCGAACAATACACGTTCTTGGAGAAACTGCAGTCAAATCTAAGGAAAGTTATAAAGGGTGTGGGAGGGCTGAGCCACGAGCAATGGAGGTCGTTTTATACAGACAAGAAAACCGTTGATTCGAAGAACTTCTTGGATGGGGATTTGATCGAATCGTTCCTTGATCTTAGTCGGGCTAGGATGGATGAGATATCAAAGGCAATGGACGTTCCCGTGGATGAACTCATGAAGAGAGTCGAAGAGTTGACAAGGTTGCACTGATCATGCATTCATGATCCTTCTTGTTGTACAAGAACTACCACCATAATGTTGATAAATTATATTTAATATTTTCTTTTGTTCTCTACTTTTTTTTTTGCTTTCTTCTTCCATTCCTTTGTTTTGTAGTGAGGCATGGTGTATTGTTACAGATTTTGCTGATGTTTTTTCTCTCAAATAGATTTTGTTTTAGGACACAATTTCTCGTTATTGTTGCCTTCTTGGAACTTTTCAATACAAATGTTATGTTTGGTTGTGCATAATGTTGATCATTATGTTTTTTTTAAAAAATTTATTTTATCATTTTGATCCAAAGCATCAATTTTAATTGCTCAATATCAGATGTGGATCTGCTAAGGGTCCCATGGAGTCGATGAACCTCCACGTGGAGCTTTATATATAAACTTGAGTTATGCCATGTTCCCCAAACCTGAGTTGGTTCTGATCTGATTGGAATAAGTTTTGATTTGATCTGATTATAGTTATGTTTAAAACTGTTCCTGATCTGGTTCGGATCCAATAAGAATAACTAACTAGTATTAAGAATAAGTTGAGAACATAGTATAAATCCCTATGTTCCATACTAATTTGATTGATTTGATTTTAGGGAGATCAAAGTGTTTGTTTTGTTTGGAGGAAATTTTTTTTCTAGAGAATTTTTTCTTGGGGTATTGTTGCAATTTTGCCAATGACATCTGGATTAATAGTAAATCTTGAATAAGTTACATTCATTCAAACTTCAAAGTAAACCAACATTATATTCTAAAAAATTACCAAAAGTCTATAATTTATTAACATCTCAGCCTCAACCTTCTTGAAACTGCATTGAAAATAGTATAGGGAAGATGGAAAGAATAACATTCTGATTTCTTTGATGATGATTTTTGGGATTAATTGTACTGCCTCCATTCTCGGTTGTGAATTTATTGCCTCACTTTGATTTTGCAGTTTAAGAAAAAATATTTTAAAAATGAGTGGTTGAAATTTGTTTAGAAGAAAGAGAAAATTTATGAACTGCATATTTTTTTACCTTATTAGAAAAGAACTCTGAGACAATTTTTTTGAGAAGCAGTTATCTTGGGATGTAGGAGGTATTAAGTGAGGAGGTTTGACTTTTAAAATCACTAAATGAATGGTATAGAACACAATTTTATTAATTCAATCTATGAGTTAAGTCTTGTATAAACTGTTTGTGTTTTAACAAAGCATCATATGGTTAGCAGTTAGCACCAAAACATTGTTGTACCAAATCCTTTGATTTGTACCATATTAGTGGTAATGTATTCTACTAAAATTTAGTTTGTTATTCTTAAATGAGGTGACAAACTATATTTGTACCAACAAAATAATCTAAAAACATTGTCGCCTTGTCTATTTGGTATCTAGGTTTGTACCACCCTTTATCTATTTGTAACAAAAAATTATCAAATCATAACCATAAAATTAACCACCGAGCAAAACTATCCTAGATCAAGTCTATGATAATTTGCTAAGTTTAATATATTAAAAGACACAGAAAGCAAGGGATGACCGGTTGGACTATATGTGGAAACACCTGTAGCCCGATTGTTATTTAATATATAGATTATTCGGGCGAGATTACAATGCACACGCTTAGGGAGATAAAATTCAGATCCCCAACACTGGGGGTTTACATTAGTATTTATAGTAGGGCTAGGGGATAGGACAAAGGGTGCCCACGTCGGACCACGTGCCTGAATGGCGCGAGGGGACTTCCTTTTGTCCCGTAGCGTGTCTCATTCCATTGTCGGCTTGTGCTGATGGCAACTGCCTTAGCGCGTAGTGCTTGGACGAGAATGTTGAAATATTCATCACAATGTATCATGGTATTCTGTCGCTACCGTCCAACCACTCTTGGAATTACTCGTGCTGACACTTTTACGTAGGGACAACCTACCCAGTAGGTTTACCGGACACGCGTCTGACTAGATAAAAGATAAGCAGAAGCAAGTCACTCTTCCCTACTAGTAGAGTTACGAAACTCTACCGGTCATCATCGAATTGGTCGAGATGTGAATATGCTCAAGTCTCTCATTTCGATGTAATCTGCTATCTGACCGGTCAAATGTTGTGGACCCGGATTCAGTTCCGGGTCTTGGTGGAATACACCCATCAGAGCCCAAATGAGCCATACATTATCTTTGAGTGCACGATTTTTAGAGAACTGGAAATACGTTTGAAGCCAGGGGCTTCAGACTTGGGTTCCAAACTTTTTATCTGCCACATCAGCCCTTCTTTAACTTACATCACAATTTCAAAGGAAATACGTTTGAAGTCCAGGGCTTCAAATCAAGACTTCAAACCTTTAATTTTTTAATTTTTAAATACACATTTTATAAAAGTAAATTAGTATGATTTCATTAATAAATTAAATTTAAACCACAATAATTCATTGAATAAAAGATTTACATTCAATAAAAAAAGAAAATTAAATATAAAAATTACATTAATAAAAAACTAAAACATATTAAAGCCTTGATCTCGTTTTTTTCTTATAATTCATACGTTTGAATTTTGTTAATGTATCAAGGTCAGTTTTCATTAATTCGAGCTCCTCTTTCTCTATCCTTTGTTTTTCCCACTCTTCTTCCCTAAAATTGAATAGCCGTATTTGTTCAACTATTTGTCGGCCGATGTCGTCGTGAGAGGAAACATAGCCAAACTCAGAACCCAAGCCAATTGATTTAGCCTTCTTTCTTTCGATCAGCCGTGGAATGTAATCCTCATCATTAGAGCCGTCTAGGTTGATGTGAGGCCTCTGTTCTGACAAGCCTATATTATCCTCCACGTCAACCACGGTGGGGGATCTTTCCTTTGACGATCCAGCCTCAGGGTTGGAGAGTTTTGCCACTTTGGCAAACGGTTTAAAACTCTACATAAATCAATTGGGACTTTGCCCTGGTGTCCGTCGTCTTGATACCAAGCTGTGGCTTACCGCAGAATATCAGCATTGTTCGTCTCGCTCTTCTTGGACCAAGCTCATTACTTGTATACTCTGATAAAATTTTGGATTTTTCTGCTTATGTGACCCTATTTGAAAGTGAGTTTGTCTCAGGTTTGGTAGAAGGGGCCCTTGTTCATTGTAGCAAATAACTTCTCCTCAATACAACCCCACATCAAATCACATATTTGATCAGAACTTTAAAGAAATATACTCCATCCATCCATAAATTGTCTTCCCTTTTTTTCTTTTTCGTCCGTCAACAAATTATCTTCCCATTTTCTATTTTGTTAACTTTTACATGGTAAAAAGACTTAACTACTCGCCCACTCATTCCATTTCTTCTTCTTTTTTCCTTCCCTCGCGGTCCCCCACTGTGCTCTACCTCTTATTCTTTTCTTCTTTTCTTCTTCTTCTCTGTCTCTCGATTTTATCCAGACCCTTCTTTTTCTCTCCTTCTTCTTCCGACCTTCCGATTGGTCCAGCCACCCCCTTCTTCTTTCTTTTCTTCTTCGTCTCCCTTCCATTTTATCTATTCGTCCTTTCCATCCTCATCTCCTTTTTTCTTCTTCTTCTTTCTTTTTTTTTTCTTCTTTTTATTCTTCTTCCCGTTCTTTTCTTCTTCCTTCTCCCTGCGGGTCATCAACATCGAAAGATCTGAAGACTTGAGGGTGTAAACATTGCTGGATTTAGACGGATCTCATAAGATTATATCATATCTCTACAGATCTGATGACTCCAATCTAGATCTAAGACGATGATGGAGATGGAAATGTCTTGTTGTGGTGGCAGAGTAAAGAGTGGGATTTACAGTGTGTGTGGGATCAGAAGGAAGGAGTCCCAAGTGATGGCGGAGCAGCGAGGCATCAATAGGAGGTAGCAGCGGAGCTTCAAAGCCGCCATCCGAGTCTATCCAATTGATTGCGATGTCACAAGGCTATGGGGCGGAAGAGAAGAAGGGTGGACCAAGGAAGAGAAGGGGAGACTATTTTGGGAAAGGCAACTACATTTTCATTTTTTCTTAATATGCGTACTTGGTGGAAGGTTAATTATGAACGAAGGAAGTATAATTTAACAAAAAAATATAATTAAACACAAATATATATAAAACATTTAAAATATATATTTAAAAAGAGCAATGCTAGGGTTACACCAAAAGATGTACTCCAAATATACACCACCCTTCTCCACCATATATTTTTATTTGATTTTTATTTACTTATTTTTTTTTTTAAATTTTTTTGCCTTTTTTAGCGGACAAGAAGGGGTGGGGGACATATAGGGTACACCTTTGGTGTACTCTTAGCATTTTTCATTTAAAAAACATACTTGTATAAAATTTACCAACCATAGGGTGCTTCAAGAAGTCGCCCCACGCAAACTTCCTCTTATGTACATTTTTTGAATTCACCATGCCACCTCGGCTATCGACTTTTTGGTCATCAGTTGCGGCTTGTGACTCTTTCGGCGTGTAATTTTTTCGATACACTTGATGTAACGCCACAAGATATGGCCTAAAATTTATTATAAAACAATAGTAGTTTTTATCCAATAAAGAATATTTGTACGTTTGACTAAAAATAAATGGATTTTCAAAATAATGACTTTTTGTTAAAAAGTTATATTTATGGATATGTCTCGAAGAGACGAATCCAATGGTACATTTTATAAACCAATCTGATTTGTAGATTTCAAGTTATATCAATTTTAAATAGTAAAATTTGTAACTTTGATCCATAAAATAAACTAAATTCAAAAGTGATTTCATCAGATTAGAAATCATAATTTTGACACTTGACAATATCATATTTATCATTTGGATTTAATTCATATATTTTTATCTCATTCATATTATTATATTAAATTATGACTGAGACAGACCCGGACACTGAGAAAAATAAAAGTTTTCAGAAAAATATTTTGATTACGTCAAAATTCTAGTTTTGACAGTCTGATTCCAAAAATACAATTTGTTTTCAATTCGGAACAGTTTGGGCGAAAAAGCGCGTACCGTTTTAGTCAGTTTATCAGTTACGGAGTAAGAAAATAAATTTGATTCCCCAAAATCCTACAAGTCACGTAGAGACACTCCCATCCCTTCCAATCCTCAATCAAACCAACCCCACTACCATATACATCCAATTCCTTTTCCCTATAATATCACCCCACCACTACCATCATCATCATAATCTTCACCATCATCCACCATCATCAACATTCATCTTCTCCTCTCCATCTCTCCCTCTCTCTGTCGGCAGCAACAAGAAGAAGAAAAGAAAACTCCAACTCCATGGTAGTATGTTAAGGAAGAAGAAGGAGGAGCAAGAAAACCATCCAAAGTTTCCAAATTTTGAGTCCAAAAACGCTGCAGCAACTTCAAGGTAAAAACTGAAATTTTCCATCCATTATCTCGAAATACTTATTGAACTAAAGTTGTAGCCCCGGACGTTACGAATCCAACCCAACAAACGGCTCGCGATTTCGTTAAGTAACGAAGAAGATATGGCCAAAATACCGGGACTGCGCCAGTGGTGGCGAGCTCCTCGGGTTGGCATGTTTTTCTTCACCAAAATTCATATTATTTCATCCCAAATACTTATCATAAACTCTCTAACAATTATTAGGAACATCCGGAAGGTATTGCAAAGAAAGTTCGGCGTTGGAATGTTGAAGTTAGTGAGTTAATCGTCGGAATCATGTTCATCGACATACCCGAAATTCTGGACAGCAACTTTCTAGTGACTTCAGGTCCGATTTACGCTATCTTACATATGTTAAAACGAAATACTTTCTATACAAAAGTTGTAGCCTTACATCTTAGGAATCCACAGAATCAAACGGTTTGCAATTCCGTGAAGAAACGGTGGAGATATGCCCAAATTACCGCAGGCGGTCCAGTTGTGACGGAAATGACAAAGTTGGCAAATTTCGATGTTGTTTCCACTCCCGCTCATCCGTAAGGTTTCGGCCGATGATTTCCAGGTCTGTACCTTTGCGTTAGACTTGCCGAATCATTCATCACATGCATACATGAACATATATGTTAATCCATATGTTGAAATCATCCCAAAAATAAATATGTGATACATATAAGTATTAGAAATGCTTCAACTACATAGATTGTTAATCATAAGTGTTAAAATAACTCAAAGAAGTATTTTAAATATCCAAAAATATCAAAAATAGAATTTGCACACCCGAACGGTCGACGTAAACGGTCAACCGTCGTATTAAACATTGAAACGAAACAAGACTGTCAGACAAACGGTCGACCGCCGCCTGCCCAGTCAAGACTGCCGTTTTTCCTCCAGTCAACAACGGTCGACCGCCGGTCAACCGCGGTCGACCGTCACGGTGATTCTCCAAACTCGACGCGATGAATTTCGCGGTCGACCGTCGCGCCAAACGGTCGACCGTTCCGAGCCCCGTAGCTTAATTAAATGATATTTTTATCACATTACATCCAAATAAAATAAAGTATATTTATCCAATCATGTTGTTTAAAAATTGTTCATATCATGTGATTCATTTCATCATTCATATTGAAACATATCACATCATGTGCATGCGCAAGAGATCAGGCTGAAGTGCGTTTTTTGTAGTTGTGATTGTGCGGGACTTAGCAGTCCGACATCACGAACCGGGCTTAGTGTACGTACATGGTACTTAGATTTTCGAGTACCACCCCTATATCTGCGTGAGTTCGTCGTACCAAATGGGCGAATCTCATAGTTCAAGGCTCGTCCTTGCGACTTAGAATCATACAGCATGAAGTCATCATCAAGTAAAATCATCATGACTATGTGTGACATCAATTACGCATCATGTTATCATCATCAAGTACATCAATTACATAGATGTCATGTAATCATCATCAAGAACAAGTATATATGGATTATATGAGTATCATGTAATCATCCTCATAAGCAAATTGATTTATTGTGCCATCATGTAATTATCATTAAATATTTATCATCATGATTCATCAAATTGTCCATATGATATAATGTGCCATATTATGAATATTATTATTATACTTTTTGTGGACATATATATGTAAATGTATATGTCTATGATTTATTCTACAATTTTAGCGTGGTACCACTCAGCGGTTTCGCTGAGCGTGTAGTTTGTATTTTTTCGTTGACTACACGTAGGTAACAAGAAGACAATGATGGAACCTTTCTCGGAGGGCATTGAGTCAGAGGAGATACAAGGATGGCAGACAATGTTTGGTCAATCGATTTTAAAATGTGTCATGATTTGATTATTATTGTACTTCCGCATTACTCTGAAAATATTTTTAAATGGGTCGCTATCCAGAGTCTGTAAATTTAATATTTATAAGTAATTGTCATTTTCAAATGTCAAGCGAAATTTTTATTTAACTCTCGTTTCACCTTAATTTGTGTAATTCCGAGTTATACAGATTGGGGTGTTACACTTGATTTCGGTTGAGTTTCCGGAACTGACTCCAAGCCGCCCAGATTCACGAGGTTTGGGTTTTGAAAACATCGGATTATTCTCGTACGTTTGGTAAAGTCACATCGTGTACTCCTTTAGCTCATGAACGGGCGAGGGACCAAAGGGATTCATGATAAAAATTAAATATAACAGAGAAAGATATGAAATATGAGAGAGAATGGAGAAGTGTATGAAAGAATGAGATGATATTGTGTGTGTGTGTGTGTATTTTTAAGATATGAGAGGGTATTTATAGCTGAAATTAAAAAAATTAAAATTGGCAACGACCAAATATTTGACCGTTGGGGGGTGGGGCAACGACTCCTTCAGCCGTTATCGTTATGTTTAATGTTTAGCAGAGGAGGTATGACTCTTGTATAACGCATTAGGGGACGTTGTTTAACACCCTGAAGGTGTTAAACCCCTGAATGGAAAACGAGACGTTAGATGTAGTTCTAGTGCCCTTATGTTCAAAATATATGATTTCCCTATGAGACTAATTAACTTGCACATTAGCTTCTCATCACACAAGATCGATGGCCACCATTGTATTGACACCTCCAGTGGTGGAACATGGTGAAATAAGAATTCTGCTTTCATGGTCCTAAGATCCATGTTTAAAATATGGACATTCTCACACTGTTCATAGGCTGATATGTGAAAAATTTTCTTTTTCGCAAAAAGGGCCAATTCTTTTATGATATCCTTGCACTAAGATCCATAAAGTGAGCATAGACTCATGGATGACAAAAGAATTTTTCCGTGCATTAAATGTACGTATAAAAATTAAAGCATTGGACTTCGATGAGACATGTTTGGGTTAGATCTTCTTTCTCGTGAACCATAGCCCGTTAGTGTTCACCAAGGTGAGAGTTTTAGATGGGAATACTATTGGTGAATTTGACTACTTTACAGGGGATGTTCCTATGATATTAGTCCTCATGTCATCCTATAACGGACTTGTTTGAATTCAATGCAGTGTTTTTTCAAAAAATTGAATCCCTTATAGTATCCATTCAAAAAGTTGATGGTTCATACTTCTAACTACTTCTAACCCCTTTGGTAAACCCTCCACCATGGCTCGATCCAAATCAACCCCCCCTGAATTGCACCTTCACAACATTTAATTGACTTTGGAGTTAAACTTTGGCTCTAAAGTCAACTAAATCTTGTGTAGTGCAATTGACGAGGATGGGGGTAGGTTCGGGTCATATCGAGATGACAGGGTTTACCAGATGTTAGGGGTAGGAACTATCAATTTTTCAAACAAAATACTACAGGGTCTTTAATTGGGATGAGTTTTATATAGAATTAGATTAGTAAAAAATAAATTGTTCATTTAATAAAAGCTGTATACTCACTATGTACAAGTATACAACATTGCACAAAAAAATCAAATCTACTGTGCAAAAAAACGAATAGTCAATGCAAATATTTTCATACTCTCTCTGTCCCTAAATATTTGCCACATTTGTATTTCCGAGGCAAGATATCAATTTTTTTCAATTCATTTTATTTACATATTGGTATAGAAATAAAAAATAAAATTTACATATAAAAAAACTACATGAAAAATTCTTTGAAATAAGATGTGTCAAGAATATTTTATTTTATCAAATGACCAATGAAAACATAGAAATAAACAAAAATTCCCGCAACCGCTGAAATATGAAATGTTGCAAATAATTTGGGATGAGGAGAGTAAAATTTGTGCATGTCTTTAGCAATAAACATTCTTGATTGGATATGGTCTCCCCGAGCTGACGATGCTGCTGCTTTTAGCCGGCCCTGGCTTATCACTCTCCACCCATAACTCCATTTCCACTTTATGCTTATATGCTTTGAATCCGCATATTGAAATTCCCCTTAAAGTCACTTTCTCCTTCTGCTCTTTCAATCCCTATCTGCCATTATAGCTCCCACACTCATCTCTGCAAACCAACCCACGCTGAATGATATTCAGACCCCGCAAGGATCTCTCTTATCTCAGTGCAAGTGGTGGGAAAAAGGTATTCAATTGCTCGTTCGTTGTCAATTTGATTTATGTGAAACCTGCACTCTTGAAATGTCTCGTTTCCATAATCATACGGGTCTTGTGTTCTTCAGTTTTTAGCTCTTTTGCCCTTTGTGATTGTGATTGTGATTGTGATCGTGATTGTGATTGTGATTGTGATTGTCATATGATGATGCCAACAATAGGGTTAACTTATTTAAGGGAAAAAGGAGATATTGGACTACGGACTAAAGCCTTGTTTGGGAACACCATTTTCGATTAGCGTTATTGTTTTGGATAAAATTTTAATGGTGTAGATTAATTATGAAAATGCTGACGCTAAAGGCTACCGTCAGATAGTCTTTTCAAAACGTTGGCCTCTAACCTCTAATGCTGATACCAAACAGGGCCTAAGAAATTATCTTAACTAGGGTGACCAAAAGCAGTACAAGTACGAGAGTACATATAATTACACCTTCCCTATATTGTTTTTCTTGTAAGAGAACATGTACAGTAACCCCCCCTTCCGCCCAAAATAAACACTCCCTCCGTCCCGAAAAGAATGTCAGACTTTACTATTCAGAAATCATGGAAACTTTTGTTTGTTTGTGTGTTCACATTGATTATTTAATAAAGTAACATATTCCTGTCACTTCTTGTTTTGTAGAACTTTTTAAACATGTAAGTTTTAGTTTTTATTTCTATGCTAATCTTTAAATAAAATGAATTGAAAACACTTGAGATTTCGCCTCGTTTTGCTTAATGTGGCATTCTTTTTGGGACGAAAGGAGTATATAAATAGATAAAAACAATACTCAGTGCTCCATAAAGCTCACTGAGCTGACATCAATCAGAAACATTACTATTTGTGTGGTGCTGAGAATGATTACTAAGTGTTATTTATCTGTAAAAGTAAAATCATTTAGCACATCACATTTCCTTAAACAATATTTGTAGAATTTGATACATCAAGCGGACACATATTTTGTGAAAACGACAAACCCGGTAAAGTCCGACAGAGCAAAAGCACAATGAATAAGAATTGGTTGAAATTGGGAAAGCCAATATGCAGCAAAGGTTTCATTATGATTTTATGCATGGCATCCCAGGCATCATAGCATAAAAAACAACAGCACTTTTTCCTCTGCAGTTTTTCAATGCACATAAATGAATCAATCTTTAAGACAGAAAATATGAAGGGGTGTATCAGCATGCATTTTCATACTCTGCTATACTCTGGCTATATTGTTTTGGTCACCAGAGCTGACACTTGATTAAATTTGGGCCAATTTCTTATGGTCCATTTAAAAAGAAAAACTTTAAGGAAAAGCATCACAGTCCAGAAGATGATTATGAAAATTGAGAACACCAGTTTACTGCTTACCATGTTTCTAGTCAAACAATTCTTAAAATAATTTATAACCAAAGTTGAAAACATAAAATTTGAAGTTGAGTAAATGACTGAATATTTTCACTGCTCAGTGTGTTTCTAGTCAAATAATTCAAAAATTATTTAGAATGAAAATGGGCATATATTGTTTGCAGGGAAACAAAATAAGGTAACATCTCAATGAGTTTCTAGAGGCCAGTGGACAATATATTGGTGTTGAAGTGACTAAAGATGGCTTTTAAGCCGTTGGATTGGTATTGCCAGCCAGTAAAGAATGGGGTGTGGTCAATGGCGGTGGAGAATGCATTCGGAGCATATACCCCATGTGCAACTGACTCTCTGGTCATCTCTGTATCTCAACTTGTTGTTTTGGTACTGTGCTTATATAGGATATGGAAGATGAAGAATGATTCCACAGTACGGAGATTTCGTTTAAGGTCCAACTGTTATAACTCTGTGTTGGGTTTGCTGGCTGCTTATTGCACTATTGAACCTTTGTATCGACTTGCAATGGGATTATCAGTGTTGAATGTTGATGGACAGACTAGTATTGCTCCATATGAGGTGTTCTGCTTCTTCATATTCTTGTGTGCTATTTATGTTTGCTCATATATTTTATGCTTGTGGATTTGTAACTACTCACTGCAAAAAATACTTTGAATTTTTATTGTGTAGTTTACCTTTTCTCTTCTCAATCTATTTATGGAATCCATTCATTTCCTCATATAGTGATCTTATTGGTCTTCTCTAGATATCAAATACCCGGGTAGTCGTTTGCAAGTTTGAGTTTGAAGTCAATTTTTTTTTGTTTTAGTTTAATCATTTGAGTTTTAAGTCAAAATTTGTTCCCCATCCATCACTACTTAAACATTGAGTACTGCAATTTGTAGTATGTAGAACTAGTTGTACCGAGGGTACCTAAGAACATAAGAAATAGCTGTAAACTATTCACCTCCTTTTGGCCAATATCTTTATTAGTTTTTTGATGATGGGAGCAAAAGAAAGTGAACAAATTGAGGTGCACGTATTAGGGGAGTAGTAATTAATAAGAACATCAATGAGCTGTTCAAATACATAAAAAAATTCTTCATTCCTTCGACAATAAATTTGCTTCGTATGTTGTAGTTATACTCTTAAAAACACAGCAAGTTGGAAATATAGAATCTTCTCAGTCATTTGGCATTTGATATATTTCTTTATTTTTTTTAATACTCTTGATGTTTTTGATAATATTTGACCCAAAACATTAAAATCTTTCATTTTTGCAGAAAATATCACTGATCATTGAGTCTCTCACATGGTGCTGTATGCTAGTGATGATTGGCCTTGAAACAAAAGTTTACATCTATGAACTTCGCTGGTTTGTTAGATTCGGAGTAATTTATGCTTTGGTAGGGGATGCAGTGATGTTCAACCTCGTACTATCTGTAAAGGAATTCTACAATGGGTTGGTTCTCTCAGTCTGTAATAGTCTTCTAATTGTCACACTTTTCTAGTGTGCATCCCTTGATGTTACCATTGCCATCATTTTCGTACCTGTAATTAAAAAGAAAAACATTGTACAATAATTTGTACTTGGGGCATAGCTTTGCCAGTTATATCGATATGCCTAGCATTTAAGGTTACCAGCCAGACACCCATTAATAAGTTAATTAGCTAAAGGAGGACTAATATCAAGTTTACTAGTCTAGTAACTAAATGAACTAGAAGGAATCATAGTTCAAGCACAGTTCCTCTGGTATCTATATGTATAGATGGCATGCATTTTTTGTTGGGTAAATGTATATCCATTCTCTTTAAATATGGTATTCATTGAATACTACATAATATTCCGTCCATCTCTTTTTATCTTCCCACTTTTCTTTTTGGGAGGTCCCCATATCATGTTCTCATTTCCTTTCGAGGGAATAATTGTGGTTCATATTACTCCCTCTGTCCCACAATTAAGTTTACACTTTCCTTTTTTGTCCATCCCAAAATAAAGTTCACACTTCTCCTTTTTCCTTTTTAAGAAAGAAATATGTGGCTCATTATTGGATGCATGTAAAGTAAGTTAGTATCATTAGTAGTTTTTGAATGTCATTCATGCAAGCTGTGCACATTAATTCGTGTGATATATTTGGCTCAAATTTGTGGTTCACTTCTTTGTCTGAGCAGGTCTATAATGTATTTGCTCATAAGTGAAGTTGCAGCCCAGGTTTATAGCTCTTATGCTCCTCTTGGCATCTTTTTTTTCTTTATGACAGTTAAATAAAATTGGTTTGAAAGTTTGAATAACTAATGATTAAATATGGACTAAAGATAAATGAACATGTTCTTTTATATTTAACTTACATTCCTCATCATGAAGCTTAGTAGGATAATAAACTGACTGTTGACGCTCATATTTTGGCTTTCATTTGATTAATCCTTTGATTTAAATATGATTTAGTCCCTTTTTTGTAGGCATTATTTGGTCTGCTCCTCCTTTTTTATGTTCCTCAATTGGACCCTTATTCAGGGAATCTGGGCTACTCCCTGCTTCAATCTGAATTCGTTGACAACATGGCATATGAAAAACTCCCTGAGGCAGAGGAAATTTGTCCAGAAAGGCATGCCAGCATACTGTACAGTATGTATCTATACTCATATGTAGTAAACTACTCCGTAGTAATTACAGACTGATTTGACATGAGCATTTTGTTGGCTTCACCCTTGTCTCCATGAGGCCAAGGGACTAACTGTTTCTTTTTTCTTTCTTTTAACTGATCTTTATCACTTTCCCCTTCTACAGGAGTTACTTTTGCATGGATGAACCCTCTTATGCAACTTGGTTACAAGAGACCTCTCACAGAAAAGGATGTATGGAAACTGGATACTTGGGACAGGACAGAAACACTCAATAGTGTGTAAGGGGCTGTGAGCCTGTAACCTTATTAGTTATTTGTCTTCACTTTATCTTTAAAATGTTTCATTTAGAATTCATCCCATAGAATAAGATATATTTTAAAAGAAATATATTATTTCAAAAAGACTTCATGGTTCGTATCTTTCTTAGGTTTCAAAAGTGTTGGGCTGAGGAGTGTCAAGGGCTACGTCCATGGCTTTTGAGAGCACTAAATAGCAGCCTTGGGGGAAGGTAAAGACATTGATAGTTCATTTTGCTTTACTATGACATGATATACTTTGAGAAAAATTTTCTTTGAGTATGTTGCAAACTTTATTCTTTTGAACTTTTGCAGATTTTGGTGGGGAGGCTTCTGGAAGGTAGTTGACTGTTCTATATTCCATGATAAAGTCTGAAACAAAACATGAGCACAAATCAGTCTATGCTTATATTCCTGTTTCAAATGTGGAGATACGTAGAATAGTGGAACATGGAGCAGATAATACATATTGGCTAGTAACAAAACATTACTATGAGAGCCTCTCGTATTGAACATTTCTTTCTAAAGTGAATACAATCTGCTCTAAACTTGTTCAAATTAACATTGACTAACATTTAAATTAATAATGTAGCTCAGTTATGATTTGTGTAGTCTGTTGAAGTCACTTAGCATTTGATCATTTGATGTATCTGATAGCCTTTCTAGCTTTCCCTGTGTGATGTCACTTAAATAGTCATTTTACTCTTTTGTTAGACGTTACTTAAATACTCATGTAATTCCCCCCCTGAAAAATTAGATTGGAAATGATGTCTCCCAGTTTATTGGACCTCTTATACTGAACCATCTATTACAGGTATGTTGCATCCTTCTTGTTTCTTTTTGTTTAAACCTGTTTTATTCAAATTCCCAGTCATGTGCTAGTCCTCGAAGATTTATCTTTAGGACAATTTTTATCTTTGAAGAAAGTGGTTGCAATGAAGTCATCTTTAAGTTCCAACAACGTTACCTTGTTATGTATGCGGTTGTTTTAAGTGTATCTCTAGTGTAACCCCAACTTGAGTGGGCTTAGTCCAATAGTCGAATACATAGTCATACATTTGTGCGTATATTTGTTGCACTATATTGTTAAAATGGAAACCTTCTACATTTTTATATAACACAGTATTGGTTAAATTTGGAAGAGAGAGCAAATTTCACTCTTATTCATCGTAACATTGAACATATAAGTGATACAACAATATATATATATAGACCCACACTTATATACTCAAGCCTAACATAAGATTTATCAACACGACCTTTCCTTTTTCTCACATGCAACACACCCTCAAGTTGGAGTGTACATCAAAAGCTCCATGCTTGCACAAATATAATCAATTCAAGGTGGTAAGGAACTCAATTAAAACATCTGCCAATTGATTATCAGGGCCAACAAAGGTCCCAAGGTGGCAATGATTTATCTGAATGAGACTTTCTCTTGAACAAAATAGCAATCAACCTCAATGTGTTTTGTTCTTTACTGAAAAAACTGGTGATTGGGCGAACATGTGCAGGCCTAGTCCAATGCATGATTGTGTGTGCGTCGGTGCACTGATATCTTTAAAGTAGAAATAGAATTCCTTGTGCTCTTTTATATTAAAGGGGTGTTGTATCTGCTCTTTCTAGAATTCTAGTCTCTAGAGTCTAGTCTAGTCTAATATGCAGAAGCTCTGTGGATAAATTTAAGTTTTACTTTGTTTAAAAGTGTTCTCTTCTTGTTATAAAAGGTTTCCTCTTGATGTAATGGTGATAGATTCTGTTTTATTAACTTTTGAGATGATTGAGATTTTTTGCAAAAGTTGTTGATTAAGGAGTGCGTGTTTGCCTCTCCTTTCTAGTATTCCCAACTCTCCTCAATCTATAGATTTGTGCTTTGAGCTCTTAGTTGTTTGTTTCGTTCTACAAACAGTCTATGCAAGAAGGAGGTCCAGCATGGATTGGCTACATCTATGCATTTGGAATTTTTCTTGGAGTGGTATGTACTTCTGCCATGTTACAATATTTAATTTTTTTTGGTGGCATAGTTAAGTCTATCAGAGAAGGCACGGAGGTTTTGGGATTGCATTTCACTCACTGCTTTTCTTCATGCCTCTCCACATGTTTTGCCCATCTTAAAGAATGCATCCTTTACATGAATGCCTATTAAGAATAATAAATGTACTATTAAGCACAACCACTATCGCTCTAATAGTATACACTTTAGTTAAAGTAGAATTAGACATGGGCCGTTTCCAGTATGGTCTCGGGGCTGGCTGCTGGTTCCCGGTTCCCTCATCGGACTTTCTGCTTGCTCCCTACACAGCACAGTAGTCATTTGACCGTTTAAGAGAGAACAAAGAAATAATTAATTAACATGCGGGGCCTGGAACTGGACTTGGAACAGCTGGTTTTGATCCCAAATGCCTCCCTGGTTCCAGTTCTACTGAAACTGCTTTTGGTTTCGTCTTTCCTGACTGGAATCGTGTCTACCCCTAACCCCCTAAGTTAAAGCAGCAAGCAAACATTTATCAGTTCCAATTTTTTTTTGATGCATAGTTTATTTTTTCTTGTTCAATACTATACCTTTTGCGTCTGTGTAAAACTATAAAGTGGCTGTATAATGACTACTTCGGTATGAATATAATTTAGGTATTTGGCGTTCTGTGTGAGGCCCAGTACTTCCAAAATGTCATGCGTGTTGGATATCGCTTGAGATCAACTCTGGTAATTTAGTCCCTGTACATACTTTCTCATCTCTACATTTTACTATGCATGTATCCTGATTGTATTGATTGCTTTCTGCATCGAGCTGTATTGTCTTATGGGGCATAGAGGTCATTTTCCCCATTTGTGGGACTACACTGGGTTTGTTGTTGTTGCTGTATGCATGAAGTCACTGTCTGATCCTTATGGATAGTAATTTTTTACACCATTCCAAAATTCATTTTTTGAGTTATATAGGTTTGAATTTGTGGTTGAATGGTTGATTCAACTCTACACACTTGCCACCTTGATGTTGTTCTATTTAGCCTAAAAATTCAAAACCAATTTAAATATCTTTTTTTTTTTGAAAAATACCAATTTAAATATCTATTAAAACATAAAGTAGAAACGCATTCACGTTTTTGAATCCATTATGTTTTGAAGGTAGCTGCAGTTTTCCGCAAGTCCTTGAGGCTAACACACGAGAGCCGGAAGAGATTTGCAACTGGAAAAATTACCAACTTAATGACAACTGATGCAGAGTCCCTGCAGGTGTGTACTTTCACATTTCATGTTACCTAAGGCTATTTTTGAAGGTTAGTTGTAAGTCTAAGCGCAATGGTAAGGTTGCTTGTTTGTGATTGGTAAGAGCAATGAAAAGGGAAATGGTTTCTTTGCATATGAAAATGGAAGTATGTTGTATGCCTACAACAATATCCTCCCTTACCCTCGTGAAGCAGGGAGCCTTCTTGGCACTGGGGTAGGGCCTTATGAGAATATGAGGACATGCAGGCTGGTCATCATTTCCCATATGTAGTTCTATACCCATAATGGTTCTGAATACCGATTTAATGGGTTTATTGCTTGTAGTTTCATTTGTGGATGTCCAACAATTTAGGCCATGTTCTCTCCAACTTATTCTTATTACTTATTACTTTTTCTTATTGGAATCAGACGAGATCAGATCAGAAATAACTTTAAATATAACTACATTCAGATCAGACCAGATTAGATCAGAACTTATTCCAATCATATCAGAACCAATTGTTGAAGAGAACATGGCCTTAGTATGTTTATTGCTTGTAGTTTCATCTACATATGTCCAACAATCCTCAATATATTTATCACATAGTCACATGATCCAAAGTAAAAGTGATAGGAGTTAATACTTTCTTTCTAATTGGAAGATAGTTTCTTTTGTGTTTTTAAAATCATATTTTCCTATGTTGAAAATGAAGAAAATGTATTTCTCTTTCATGCTCCTACACATGAGTGTAACACATTTAAATACAATAGTACATGATACATAACCCTAAGTTACTTGTACTAGCTAAGTTGACCTTGGTTTTTCTCAATACTCCCCTTCAAGATCGAGTATGCATGACATTAGCTCCAAACTTCTTATGAATGCACCCCAGTGAGTATATATGTCAACCATTTGAGCCCACAAATGAGGTACCATGAAACTAAGGTTTTATTTTGTCTTCTTTGGTATCATTTTTGGCCAAGGCTTCAAAATGGATGGGGAAGACTTTATTTTGATCAAAAGGAAAGAAGTAAAAGATTTTTTGGATATTTGGGAGAGGGTGGTTTTTGGTAGAGCCATCCAGGGGTATAACATGAAGTATGAAAGAATATATTGTATTGATGTGTTTATGTCTGTGCAATATGTATAATAAATAGATGTAGAGGATGGATCAAGCTCACTAAGGTTGGGGTTTTTTCAATATTTATATTCAATTTGTTTAACACCTACGTACTTGAACTTTATTCTTCTATAAAATGTTGCTTGTTGATTGATTGCTTATTGGTTCATTTTCTGCAGCAAATATGCCAATCACTGCACACTTTGTGGTCTGCTCCTTTTCGTATTGTTATTGCAATGGTTCTTCTGTACCAACAGTTGGGAGTTGCATCTCTACTTGGTGCATTTATGCTTGTCTTAATGTTCNAGCGGAAAATCGAGGCGGTGGTCAGGGGTGTGGCGGCCGGATCCGAACAGATCTAATGTCTCCCCTTCTTATTTTTTCCCGTCACCCAAGATTGGGAGCACCGGAAAACCGAGGCGGTGGTCGGAGGTGTGTGGCGGCCGGATCCGGACAGGTCTAATGTAGTATAATCTCCATCACCTCCGCCCATTTAATTTTTCTTTTTTCCCAAAGCTTCCCATATTTGTTCATAGTTCTAACTATAAATTTTCCAGATTTCCCCAATTCCTCAATTTAATTTTACGTGTAAGAAAGTTAATTTTTGTGGTAATAATGGTTGAAGGAGATGTATGAGGGTTCACAGAAGGAAGTGAGGATTGAGGATCGGAAGAGAGTAGGCATAAGGGTAATATGGGAAAGTCAAAGACAATTTCAACTTTTCTTAAAGTGCGTGCCGGGTCAAACCGGGAACTTCTTTTTTGGACGGAGGGAGTATTACAACTGTTATATTCATAATTGTAGTTTATAAATTATTTTTTTCATCTCACTATTTTTACGATTCACACTTATTATTTTTTTCTTCAACTTTTTTAATATGAATAAGACATTTTTTTGTATATTAGTCTACATGATAAAACAGGAAAACATCAATATGTTAAATTATACTAAAAAATTATGGATAAAATAGTTACATTAAATGTTTTATTAATATAACTTTTTATAAGACATCTCAGTTTTCTCTTTATTACTTAAAAATTGCTCATTTTTCTAATTTTTATAAAAAAATTGTAAGTCAAAAGAGTTTAGAGAAAAAGATTAAAATATGAGTAAAACATAAAAAAATGTAAACAAAAAAATTCTATGTCTTAATTCCAAAAATAGGAATTCAATGAAAATAAAATTTCAATCATGAAAGAAACAATAGGTTTGATTATATGATATTTAAAATAAAATGTTTTAATATATAAATTATAATTACAAATACATTATTTATAATAAATACTGCATAAATAAATTGAGGTGCAATATAACTACACAGCCTTTTTAAAATTTAATATCTTTATATTTATGCTAACTTTATATTATAATTATTTTTTGTAAAAATAGTTTTTTGTATTTAAAAAATAACAATAGTTTTTTTATATCTTAAAGACATTTACTAAGATAACGTGATGATGATGATGATTATGATAATGATGATGATTATGATGCTGATGATGATGATGATGATGATCATAATAATAATAATAATAATAATAATAATAATAATAATAATTTATGACAACAAGAAATTAAAATAAATATTTTTAAAGTTTTTTTAGGTTTTCCAGTTTTATCCAGATTTTTCCAGTTCCTTCCAGTTTTTTCCAGTTTCTTCCAGTTTTTTCCAGTTCCTTCCAGTTTTTTCCAATTTCTTCCAGTTCCTTCAAATTTCTTCCAGTTTTTTCTAGTTTCTTCTAGTTCCTTCCAGTTTTTTCTAGTTCCTTCCAATTTCTTCCAGTTTTTTCTAGTTTCTTCCAACATTCAGCTCTTTTTACGGTCCTAAAGAACAGGCCCTAATAGTAAATCTTGAATAAGCTACATTTATTCAAACTTCAAAGTAAACGAACATTACATTCTAAAAAATTACCAAAAACCAATCATTTATTAACATCTCATCCTCAATCTTCTTGAAACTGCATTGAAAATCGTATGGGGAAGATGGAAAGAATAAAATGCTGATTTCTTTGATGATGATTTTTGGGATTAATTGTACTGCCTCCATTCTCGGTTATGAATTTATTGCCTCACTTTAATTTTGCAGTTTAAGAAAAAATATTTTTAAAAATGAGTGGTTGAAATTTTTTTAGAAGAAAGAGAAAAATTATGAACCGCATATGTTTTACCTTATTAGAAAAAAAGTGAGACAATTTTTTTGAGAAGCAGCTATCTCGGGATGTAGGAGTATTAATTAAGGAGGACTGACTTTTAAAATCACTAAATGAAAGGTATAGAACACCAAATATTTAAATTCAATCTATGAGTTAAATCTTGTATAAACTGTTTGTGTTTTAACAAAGCATCATATGGTAAGCACCAAAACAATGTTCGTTGTACCAAATTTGTTGATTTGTACCAAGTTAATGGTAATGTATTCTACTAAAATTTAGTTTGTTATTCTTAAATGATGTGACAAACTATATTTGTACCAACAAAATAATCTAAAAACATTGTCACCTTGTCTATTTGGTATCTAGGTTTGTACCACTCTTTATCTATTTGTAACAAAAAAATTATCAAATCATAACCATAAAAAGGATCATAAGGCAAAGAAATACGGAGTAATCTATAAACATTTCATCACGTTATGTATTTTGTAACTACCATCCCTTATCTATATGTAGCAAAAAAATTATCAATTCATAACCATGAAAAAAAATTTGATATGCAAATGAGGAGACAAATAAGTCTCATATTCTTTGAGTTTTATTTGTAGTGAAAATAATATTAATCCTTCATCCGTTATTGTTGAACTTAATACAGCGGGAATAAATAATAATGAAAATAATAATAATCCGAACTTATAACACGTTCGGATTTTACAACAAAATAAAAAAAATAAGCAGGAGAAGTCGCCGGTGATCGGAAAAACGAGCGGAGAAGGAAAGCAGAGTCGCCGGAGCTTTCCTTAAGGTAGTATCGCCACCTCTCGCACTGGCAACAACATGGATGATCTTCTCCCAGGATAAAACCTCTAACGTGCAAAGTCTCGAGTGGTAGAACAATGCACCGACAAACTGGAACGAAGCGGAGTTATTCGCCGGAAGAAACGATCAAAATAGAGAGAGAGAGAGAGAGTTAGAACGCAGCGAATGTTTCGAGTGTTGGGAGTGATTTCTCTGCAACAAAAGACCACTCCTTATATAGGAGTGAATTGGGCATTTGGACGGACAACACGAAGGGTCAAGTGACTCTTCGTAAGTTCATGCATGCATATTTTCCGTCACTTTGTTATTAACCAAGTCAACATGTGTTTGATTCGGTCTTGTAAAAAGATAAAGGGTTCGGCCCATGCGTTCTCCACATCGCAACGGGTCGCGTGCGTGCGTATCGTGCCGAGTCGGACAGACGGCGGCGACAACGGTGTGCGTGGGCTCTCTTGGTTTTCCCTCCACATCGCAACGGGTCGCGCGCATGCACGCATACGCCGCCAACGCGCATGCGTATCGTGCCGAGTCGGATAGACGCTGGCGACAACAGTGCGCGAGGGCTCTCTTGGTTTTCGCTCCATAAATTGTTTTCACAATGTTAATAAAGACTAGCATATATGTGGAGGAAGTTGAAGGGTTTCAAATCCGATGTGGGATACATGAGTTTTTCTCCTTCCACAAGTCAACGGCTTTGTGAATTAATTTCTCATTCACCAGAGCATGAATTTTGGCGCACAATATATCGAAATACTTGTCTCACTTAGAATAATATTCATCCATAATTATTTCAGAAAAATAATTTTGTATAGCTTACCAAATTTACGTCCAAAGTTGTCCTGTTATGAGTTCAAATTCCAACTGTTATCGTTGTGTTTAATGTTTAACAGAGGAGGTAGGACGAGAGTGAGGGGTAAGTTCGTGTCGGGCTGGGATGACGAGGTTTACCATAAGTGTTAGGTGATAGTAACTATCTATTTTTCAAACGGAATACTGTAAGATCTGATCTCTAGGTCATCTTATGAAATTGACTCCAATGTCACTGAAACTGGGATGAGTTTTATATAGAATTAGATTAGTAAAAAATAAATTATTCATTTAATAAAAGCTGTATACTCACTATGTACAAGTATACAACATTGCACAAATTTTCATAAAATTTCTGCATGATATATAAAGTTGTCTTTAGCAATAAACATTCTTGATTGGATATGGTTTCCCCGAGCTGACGAAGCTGCTGCTTTTAGCCGGCCCTGCCTATCACTCCACCCATAAATCCATTCCCACTTTATGCTGATATGCTTTGATTCCGCATATTGAAATTCCCTTTAAAGGCACTTTCTCCTTCTGCTCTTTCAATCCCTATCTGCCATTATAGCTCCCACACTCGTCTCTGCAAACCAACCCACGCTGAAAGATATTCAGACCCCGCAAGGATCTCTCTTATCTCAGTGCAAGTGGTGGGAAAAAGGTATTCAATTGCTCGTTCGTTCTCAATTTGATTTATGTTAAACCTTGCACTCTTGAAATGTCTCGTTTCCATAATCATATGGGTCTTGTGTTCTTCAGTTTTTAGCCCTTTTGCCCTCTGTGATTGTGATTGTGATTGTCATATGATGATGCCAACACTAGCGTTAACTTATTTAAGGGAAAAAGGAGATATTGGACTACTGACTAAAGCCTTGTTTGGGAACACCATTTTCGATTAGCGTTAGTGTTTTGGATAAAATTTTAATAGTGTAGATTAATTATGAAAATGCTGACGCTAAAGGCTACCGTCATGGTCTTTTCAAAACGCTGACCTCTAACCTCTAATGCTGATACCAAACAGGGCCTAAGAAATTATCTTAACTAGGGTGACCAAAAGCAGTACAAGTACGAGAGTACATATAATTACACCTTCCCTATACTGTTTTTCTTGTAAGAGAACATGTACAGTAACCACCCCTTCCTTCCAAAATAAACACTCCCTCTGTCCCGAAAAGAATGTCACACTTCACTATTCAAAAATCACGGAAACTTTTGTTTGTTTGTGTGTTCTCATTGATTATTTAATAAAGAAACATATTCTTGTCACTTCTTGTTTTGTAGAACTTTTTAAATATGTAAGTTTTATTTTTTATTTCTATGCTAATCTTTAAATAAAATGAATTGAAAACACTTGTGATTTCGCCTCGTTTTGCTTAATGTGGGATTCTTTTTGGGACGAAAGGAGTAAATGAATAGATAAAAACAATACTCAGTGCTCCATAAAGCTCACTGAGCTGACTTCAATCAGAAACATTACTATTTGTGTGGTGCTGAGAATGATTACTAAGTGTTATTTATCTGTAAAAGTAGAATCATTTAGCACATCACATTTCCTTAAACAATATTTGTAGAATTTGATACATCAAGCGGACACATATTTTGTGAAAAACCCGGTAAAGTCCGACAGAGCAAAAGCACAATGAATAAGAATTGGTTGAAATTGGGAAAGCCAATATGCAGCAAAGGTTTCATTATGATTTTATGCATGGCATCTCAGGCATCATAGCATAAAAAACAACAGCACTTTTACCTCTGCAGTTTTTCAATGCACATAAATGAATCAATCTTTAAGACAGAAAATATGAAGAGGTGTATCAGCATGCATTTTCAATTTTTCATACTCCGCTATACTTTTTGGCTATATTGTTTTGGTCACCAGAGCTGACACTTGATTAAGTTTGGGCCAATTTCTTAGTTGGTAATAAGCTATGGTCCATTTAAAAAAAACATTTAATGGAAAAGCATCACAGTCCAGAAGATGATTATGAAAATTGAGAACACCAGTTTACTGCTTACCATGTTTCTAGTCAAACAATTCTTAAAATAATTTATAACCAAAGTTGAAAACATAAAATTTGAAGTTGAGTAAATGACTGAATATTTTCACTGCTCAGTGTGTTTCTAGTCAAATAATTCAAAAAATTATTTATAATGAAAATGGGCATATATTGTTTGCAGGGAAACAAAATAAGGTAACACCTCAATGAGTTTCTAGAGGCCAGTGGACAATATATTGGTGTTGAAGTGACTAAAGATGGCTTTTAAGCCGTTGGATTGGTATTGCCAGCCAGTAAAGAATGGGGTGTGGTCAAAGGCGGTGGAGAATGCATTCGGAGCATATACCCCATGTGCAACTGACTCTCTGGTCATCTCTGTATCTCAACTTGTTGTTTTGGTACTGTGCTTATATAGGATATGGAAGATGAAGAATGATTCCACAGTACGGAGATTTTGTTTAAGGTCCAACTGTTATAACTCTGTGTTGGGTTTGCTGGCTGCTTATTGCACTATTGAACCTTTGTATCGACTTGCAATGGGATTATCAGTGTTGAATGTTGATGGACAGACTAGTATTGCTCCATATGAGGTGTTCTGCTTCTTCATATTCTTGTGTGCTATTTATGTTTGCTCATATATTTTATGCTTGTGGATTTGTAACTACTCACTGCAAAAAATACTTTGAATTTTGATTGTGTAGTTTACCTTTTCTCTTCTCAATCTATTTATGAAATCCATTCATTTTCTCATATAGTGATCTTGTTGGTCTTCTCTAGATATTAAATACCCGGGTAGTAGTTTGCAAGTTTGAGTTTGAAGTCAATTTTTTTTTGTTTTAGTTTAATCATTTGAGTTTTAAGTCAAAATTTGTTCCTCATCCATCACTACTTAAACATTGAGTACTACAATTTGTAGTATGTAGAACTAGTTGTACCGAGGGTACCTAAGAACATAAGAAATAGCTGTAAACTATTCACCTCCTTTTGGCCAATATCTTTATTAGTTTTTTGATGATGGGAGCAAAAGAAAGTGAACAAATTGAGGTGCACGTATTAGGGGAGTCGTAATTAATAAGAACATCAATGAGCTGTTCATAAAAATAAAAAAATTCTTCATTCCTTCCACAATAAATTTGCTTCGTATGTTGTAGTTATACTCTTAAAAACACAGCAAGTTGGAAATATAGAATCTTCTCAGTCATTTGGCATTTGATATATTTCTTTATTTTTTTTAATACTCTTGATGTTTTTGATAATATAAGACCCAAAACATTAAAATCTTTCATTTTTGCAGAAAATATCACTGATCATTGAGTCTCTCACATGGTGCTGTATGCTAGTGATGATTGGCCTTGAAACAAAAGTTTACATCTATGAACTTCGCTGGTTTGTTAGATTTGGAGTAATTTATGCTTTGGTAGGGGATGCAGTGATGTTCAACCTCGTATTATCTGTCAAGGAATTCTACAATGGGTTGGTTCTCTCAGTCTGTAATAGTCATCTAATTGTCACTCTTTTCTAGTGTGCATCCCTTGATGTTACCATTGCAATCATTTTCGTACCTGTAATGAAAAAGAAAAACATTGTACAATAATTTGTACTTGGGGCATAGCTTTGCCAGTTATATCGATATGCCTAGCATTTAAGGTTGCCAGCCAGACACCCATTAATAAGTTAATTAGCTAAAGGAGGACTAATATAAAGTTTACTAGTCTAGTAACTAAATGAACTAGAAGGAATCATAGTTCAAGCACAGTTCCCCTGGTATCTATATGTATAGATGGCATGCATCTTTTGTTGGGTAAATGTATATCCATTCTCTTTAAATATTGTATTTATTGAATACTACATAATATTCCGTCCATCTCTTTTTATCTTCCCACTTTTCTTTTTGGGAGGTCCCCATATCATGTTCTCATTTCCTTTCGAGGGAATAATTGTGGTTCATATTGCTCCCTCTGTCCCACAATTAAGTTTACACTTTCCTTTTTTGTCCATCCCAAAATAAAGTTCACAGTTCTCCTTTTTCCTTTTTAAGAAAGAAATATGTGGCTCATTATTGGATGCATGTAAAGTAAGTTAGTATCATTAGTAGTTTTTGAATGTCATTCATGCAAGCTGTGCACATTAATTCGTGTGATATATTTGGCTCAAATTTGTGGTTCACTTCTTTGTCTGAGCAGGTCTATAATGTATTTGCTCATAAGTGAAGTTGCAGCCCAGGTTTATAGCTCTTATGCTCCTCTTGGCATCTTGTTTTTCGTTATGACACTATGACAGTTAAATAAAATTGGTTTGAAAGTTATGGACTAAAGATAAATGAACATGTTCTTTTATATTTAACTTACATTCCTCATCATGAAGCTTAGTAGGATAATAAACTGACTGTTGACGCTCATATTTTGGCTTTCATTTGATTAATCCTTTGATTTAAATATGATTTAGTCCCTTTTTTGTAGGCATTATTTGGTCTGCTCCTCCTTTTTTATGTTCCTCAATTGGACCCTTATTCAGGGAATCCAGGCTACTCCCTGCTTCAATCTGAATTTGTTGACAACATGGCATATGAAAAACTCCCTGAAGCAGAGGAAATTTGTCCAGAAAGGCATGCCAGCATACTGTACAGTATGTATCTATACTCATATGTAGTAAACTACTCCGTAGTAATTACAGACTGATTTGACATGAACATTTTGTTGGCTTCACCCTTGTCTCCATGAGGCCAAGGGACTAACTGTTTCTTTTTTCTTTCTTTTAATTGATCTTTATCACTTTCCCCTTCTACAGGAGTTACTTTTGCATGGATGAACCCTCTTATGCAACTTGGTTACAAGAGACCTCTCACAGAAAAGGATGTATGGAAACTGGATACTTGGGACAGGACAGAAACACTCAATAGTGTGTAAGGGGCTGTGAGCCTGTAACCTTATTAGTTATTTGTCTTCACTTTATCTTTAAAATGTTTCATTTAGAATTCATCCCATAGAATAAGATATATTTTAAAAGAAATATATTATTTCAAAAAGACTTCATGGTTCGTCTCTTTCTTAGGTTTCAAAAGTGTTGGGCTGAGGAGTGTCAAGGGCTACGTCCATGGCTTTTGAGAGCACTAAATAGCAGCCTTGGGGGAAGGTAAAGACATTGATAGTTCATTTTGCTTTACTATGACACTAATACTTTGAGAAAAAATTTCTTTGAGTATGTTGCAAACTTTATTCTTTTGAACTTTTGCAGATTTTGGTGGGGAGGCTTCTGGAAGGTAGTTGACTGTTCTATATTCCATGATAAAGTCTGAAACAAAACATGAGCACAAATTAGTCTATGCTTATATTCCTGTTTCAAATGTGGAGATACGTAGAATAGTGGAGCATGGAGCAGATAAAACATATTGGCTAGTAACAAAACGTTGCTATGAGAGCCTCTCGTATTAAACATTTCTTTCTAAAGTGAATACAATCTGCTCTAAACTTGTTCAAATTAACATTGACTAACATTTAAATTAATAATGTAGCTCAGTTATGATTTGTGTAGTCTGTTGAAGTCACTTAGCATTTGATCATTTGATGTATCTGATAGCCTTTCTAGCTTTCCCTGTGTGATGTCACTTAAATAGTCATTTTACTCTTTTGTTGGACGTTACTTAAATACTCATGTAATTTTTTCCCCTTGAAAAATTAGATTGGAAATGATGTCTCCCAGTTTATTGGACCTCTTATACTGAACCATCTATTACAGGTATGTTGCATCTTTGTTGTTGCTTTTTGTTTAAACCTGTTTTATTCAAATTCCCAGTCATGTGCTAGTCCTCGAAGATTTATCTTTAGGACAATTTTTATCTTTGAAGGAAGTGGTTGCAATGAAGTCATCTTTAAGTTCCAACAACGCTGCCTTGTTATGTATGCGGTTGTTTTAAGGTTATCTCTAGTGTAACCCCAACTTGAGTGGGCTTAGTCCAATAGTCCTAATACATAGTCATACATTTGTGCGTATATTTGTTGCACAATATCGTTAAAATGGAAACCTTCTACATTTTTATATAACACAGTATTGGTTAAATTTGGAAGAGAGAGAGCATAATTTCACTCTTATTCATCGTAACATTGAACATATAAGTGATACAACAATATATATACACCCACACTTATATACTCAAGCCTAACATAAGATTTATCAACACGACCTTTCCTTTTTCTCACATGCATCTCAACACACCCTCAAGTTGGAGTGTACATCAAAAGCTCCATGGTTGCACAAATATAATCAATTCGAGGTGGTAAGGAACTCAATTAAAACATCTGCCAATTGATCATTAGGGCCAACAAAGGTCCCAAGGTGGTAATGATTTATCTGAATGAGACTTTCTCTTGAACAAAATAGCAATCAACCTCAATGTGTTTTGTTCTTTACTGAAAAAACTGGTGATTGGGCAAACATGTGCGGGTCTAGTCCAATGCATGATTGTGTGTGCGTCGGTGCACTGATATCTTTAAAGTAGGAATAGAATTCCTTGTGCTCTTTTATATTAAAGGGGTGGTGTATCTGCTCTTTCTAGAACTCTAGTCTCTAGAGTCTAGTCTAGTCTAATATTCAGAAGCTCTGTGGATAAATTTAAGTTTTACTTTGTTTAAAAGTGTTCTCTTCTTGTTATAAAAGGTTTCCTCTTGATGTAATGGATTATTTTGTGGGTTGAACTATACTCAGCTTTTGTGATAGATTCTGTTTTATTAACTTTTGAGATGATTGAGATTTTTTGCATAAGTTGTTGATTAAGGAGTGCGTGTTTGCCTCTCCTTTCTAGTTTTCCCAACTCTCCTCAATCTATAGATTTGTGCTTTGAGCTCTTATTTGTTTGTTTCGTTCTACAAACAGTCTATGCAAGAAGGAGGTCCAGCATGGATTGGCTACCTCTATGCATTTGGAATTTTTCTTGGAGTGGTATGTACTTCTGCCATGTTACAATATTTAAAATTTTTTGGTGGCATAGTTAAGTCTATCAGAGAAGGCACAGAGGTTTTGGGATTGCACTTCACTCACTGCTTTTCTTCATGCCTCTCCACATCTTTTGCCCATCTTAAAGAATGCATCCTTTACATGAATGCGTATTAAGAATAATAAATGTACTATTAAGCACAACCGCTATTGCTCTAATAGTATACACTTTAGTTAAAGTAGAATTAGACATGGGCAGTTTCCAGTATGGTCTCGGGGCTGGCTGCTGGTTCCTGGTTCCCTCCTCGGACTTTCTGCTTGCTCCCTACTCAGCACAGTAGTCATTTGACCGTTTAAGAGAGAACAAAGAAATAATTAATTAACATGCGGGGCCTGGAACTGGACTTGGAACAGCTGGTTTTGATCCCAAATGCCTCCCTGGTTCCAGTTCTACTGAAACTGCTTTTGGTTTCGTCTTTCCTGACTGGAATTGTGTCTACCCCTATGTTAAAGCAGCAAGCAAACATTTATCAGTTCCAATTTTTTTTTGATGCATAGTTTATTTTTTCTTGTTCAATACTATACCTTTTGCGTCTGTGTAAAACTATAAAGTGGTTGTATAATGACTACTTCGGTATGAATATAATTTAGGTATTTGGCGTTCTGTGTGAGGCCCAGTACTTCCAAAATGTCATGCGTGTTGGATATCGCTTGAGATCAACTCTGGTAATTTAGTCCATGTACATACTTTCTCATCTCTACCTTTTACTATGCATGTATCCTGATTGTACTGATTGCTTTCTGCATCGAGCTGTATTGTCTTATGGGGCATAGAGGTCAGTTTCCCCATTTGTGGGACTACACTGGGTTTGTTGTTGTTGCTGTATGCATGTAGTCACTGTCTGATCCTTATGGATAGTAATTTTTTACACCATTCCAAAAATTCATTTTTTGAGTTATATAGGTTTGAATTTGTGGTTGAATGGTTGATTCAACTCTACACACTTGCCACCTTGATGTTGTTCTATTTAGCCTAAAAATTCAAAACCAATTTAAATATCTCTTTTTTTTTTTGAAAAATACCAATTTAAATATCTATTAAAACATAAAGTAGAAACGCATTCACGTTTTTTAATCCATTATGTTTTGAAGGTAGCTGCAGTTTTCCGCAAGTCCTTGAGGCTAACACACGAGAGCCGGAAGAGATTTGCAACTGGAAAAATTACCAACTTAATGACAACTGATGCAGAGTCCCTGCAGGTGAGTACTTTCACATTTCATGTTACCTAAGGCTATTTTTGAAGCTTAGTTGTAAGTCTAAGCGCAATGGTAAGGTTGCTTGTTTGTGATTGGTAAGAGCAACGAAAAGGGAAATGGTTTCTTTGCATATGAAAATGGAAGTATGTTGTATGCCTACAACAATATCCTCCCTTACCCTCGTGAAGCAGGGAGCCTTCTTGGCACTGGGGTAAGGCCTTATGAGAATATGAGGACATCCAGGCTGGTCATCATTTCCCATATGTAGTTCTATACCCATAATGGTTCTGAATACCAATTTAATGGGTTTATTGCTTGTAGTTTCATCTGTGGATGTCCAACAATTTAGGCCATGTTCTCTCCAACTTATTCTTATTTTTTATTACTTTTTTCTTATTGGAATCAGACCAGATCAGATGAGAAATAACTTTAAATATAACTACATTCAGATCAAACCAGATTAGATCAGAACTTATTCCAATCATATCAGAATCAATTGGTGAAAAGAACATGGCCTTAGTATGTTTATTGCTTGTAGTTTCATCTACAGATGTCCAACAATCCTCAATATATTTATCACATAGTCACATGATCCAAAGTAAAAGTGATAGGAGTTAATACTTTCTTTCTAATTGGAAGATAGTTTCTTTTGTGTTTTTAAAATCTTATTTTCTTATGTTGAAAATGAAGAAAATGTATTTCTCTTTCATGCTCCTACACATGAGTGTAACACATTTGAATACAATAATACATGATACATAACCCTAAGTTACTTGTACTAGCTAAGTTGACCCTGGTTTTTCTCAATACTCCCCTTCAAGATCGAGTATGCATGACATAAGCTCCAAACTTCTTATGAATGCACCCCAGTGAGTATATATGTCAACCACACATTTGAGCCCACAAATGAGGTACCATGTATAGGTGGCTTTGATACCATATGAAGTATGAAAGAATATATTGTATTGATGTGTTTATGTCTGTGCAATATGTATAATAAATAGATGTAGAGGATGGATCAAGCCCACTAAGGTTGGGGTTTTTTCAATATTTATATTCCACTTGTTTAACACCTACGTACTTGAACTTTATTCTTCTATAAAATGTTGCTTGTTGATTGATTGCTTACTGGTTCATTTTCTGCAGCAAATATGCCAATCACTGCACACTTTGTGGTCTGCTCCTTTTCGCATTGTTATTGCAATGGTTCTTCTGTACCAACAGTTGGGAGTTGCATCTCTACTTGGTGCATTTATGCTTGTCTTAATGTTCCCTATTCAGGTTAGAACCCCCCCCCTTCATTTTTCACTCAGTTCTGCTTATACCTTCAACAATAATGCTGAGTGCCCACCTAGGACGCCACCTGGATGACAATGTAAGGATGGAATAATAATGTTTTCACGCACTGTATGCAATTTGTACCTTTGTTGTGAGAAAAAAACACAAAACAGCAATTTTTTCCCCTTAAGTTTCATCCAGATGGTAAATCTGGATGTCACTATAGATTGCATTACTCATACTTCAATGGTACATATTACCTGTTCATGGGAAGCCTTATTTGACTTCATTTTGTTGGGCTGGAGTCATTGAAATTTTTAGATTTTCTCTTGTGTCCTCGTGCATGATTTGGTGGGTATGCTTATGAAGCATGACTAGAACTTTGTTAATGCAGACTTTAGTAATAAGCAGAATGCAGAAATTGACAAAAGAGGGACTGCAGCGCACTGACAAGAGAATTGGACTGATGAATGAAATACTGGCTGCTATGGACACAGTAAAGTATGCATCCCATTGAAAGCCTGCCCGTGAATCACCTTTGTAAGAATAACCTTTCTANGGGCTGGAGTCATTGAAATTTTTAGATTTTCTCTTGTGTCCTCGTGCATGATTTGGTGGGTATGCTTATGAAGCATGACTAGAACTTTGTTAATGCAGACTTTAGTAATAAGCAGAATGCAGAAATTGACAAAAGAGGGACTGCAGCGCACTGACAAGAGAATTGGACTGATGAATGAAATACTGGCTGCTATGGACACAGTAAAGTATGCATCCCATTGAAAGCCTGCCCGTGAATCACCTTTGTAAGAATAACCTTTCTAAATTGTTCTGTTTTGGTCTTATGCTTCAGATGCTATGCATGGGAAGATAGTTTCCAATCAAAGGTTCAGGGGGTTCGAAATGAGGAGTTAAGCTGGTTTCGCAAGGCGCAAATGCTTGGAGCAGTATGTTATCAATCTCTCTTCAACTTTCTGTACTGTTTAGGGCTATATAGAAATTTTTCTTCCATGACTTTGGAACTACAAGAGTTATGCATGCATTCTTACTCCCCTTTTCCAGCATCGTACACTTAAAGAGCTTGCAATCTTCATAACCTTGCTATTTTTTTTTAAATTTTTTGACCCTTATGTCCAGGGCCTCCTGGCATGACTTGACATTATATATTGTTTTCTGCAGTTGAACAGTTTCATACTGAACAGCATTCCAGTTTTTGTTATTGTCGTCTCGTTCTGGGTGTTCACTTTACTTGGTGGGGACCTAACACCTGCAAGGGCATTTACTTCTCTATCCTTGTTTGCAGTGCTACGCTTTCCGCTCTTCATGCTTCCTAACATTATAACACAGGTTCTCTTTTTGCAAATGCAACCAACCCAATATTTAGTGACACTTTGGTTATTGGGTAGATTTATCTCTACAGAATTTCTGCTTGCTTATTCTAATAGAGTTGAAAACTTGAGCAGCTGTGGTCCAATAGCTAATCACCTATTTCTGCTTGGAAGTTAAGAGTTAGAACCCAAAACAACAAATCTAAAACACCAACATAAGTTATAGAATGTTCCATTGTTATCTTTTAAGGGATTCTTTGGTTTTAGAACAATGTCGACTGGATGTGTAATCCATGCTAATCCCATGTTAATTTGACACATGAGATAAAAAACAGTTGTCCAGTTGCCAACTACCAAAAGTCTTGGCTTTCTCCTTTTTCTTGTTTATTTGATCACTAAGTACCGATTTAGTGAGTTTTGGAGATATGATATGGGCTTTGAAATTTGGGAGAAATGATATGGAATCTAACATCTGAAATGAAGTTTGGAGAAATTTGAAATCATGATTTAACTAGTGATAAGTAGGGTGGTCGGGTAGGAGGGTGACTAGTGGTGACAGCAGTAGCCAGTGGCTGATGGTGGGTGATTGTTGATGGAGATGTCAAATCCCCGTATTGATGTCTCCCAAATTCAGGAGATATCAAAACCCTTCATTATGAAGGATTTGTGATATCCAGAGATATCAAATCTGAAATCTTTTTAGTCTTCACCAAACACCAGATATCAGAACTCATATCTTGTTTGCTCACCAAACGGGCCCTAAGTGGAATAGGCTTCCTAATTCCATTTATCATATTCAGTTCTGCTCCTATTCCATAGTATGTGCTTCATATGCTAGTGGACCCTTAAAAATGTAATAGACTAATTCAACCATGCTTTAGTGGTGTTATGATATGTCTGTGACCTAAACACGATTTTAGTTTTATTATACTCCCTCCGTTCCACCTTGTTTGTCCACTTTCAAAGTGGCACAAATACCAAGGAGGGAGATTTAAAGGATTAAAATGTCTCATATACCCTTGGATGAAGAAAAAAGTGGGTGGAATTTTTGTGGTGCCGTGTACTCCATACAAAAAGTTGACAGTATCCCATACAGTAGCCCAAACAATCTTTTTGCTTTTTGCAATCATTACAATCATCACCAATACAACAACAATAACCCAGTTAAATCCCACAAGAGTAGGGTCTGGGGAGGGTGTGTGTACGTAGACCTTGCCCCTGCTCGAAAGTAGAGAGGCTGTTTCCAAAGAGACCCCCGGCTCAACGTCGAAAGTTGCATTGCTTGACTAACTGCTACTTCATTCATTAAAGAAGCGCAAATAGTTTAGAGATCCATTTTGATTTATCCATCACACCCCAAAGCCAAAAACAGGTGAAATTTTGGCTCCATCGGAGATGATGGAAAAATCATCACCAATAATTTAAAAAAAAATATTTACAATAAAGTGAAGGAATTGGCGGCAAAGCTTCTAAAAGATGAAATTTTTCCCTCCTTCTGTACTGTGTGTCAGCATATCCTCCTCTTTCCTTTCCACATTTATTCCGTGTATCCTTTTTCTTCTTTCTTCAAGAAGGCAGGCTTCTTTCTTCATCTTTGTCTCTTGCCTTCAATATGCCTCCCAACTTACCAATAACCCCTGTTTCAGAAAATGAAAATGAGAGAGAAACACATAATCAAAGAGAGAAAGGCACACACAAACTCACAGATGACACCCGAGCACACATCATCCAAATCATGCTACAACAATTGAAGAAGGGAAAACCTAAAAGAGGTGTCATGAAAGAACTTGCTGAGCAGTTCCACATAAGTTCAAAAACTGTGCAAAGATTGTGGGCACAAGCTAAAGAACAAATCAATGAAGGAAATAGAATCAGTGTCATGGGCAGGATGAAAGGGAAGTCAAATGGAAGAGAGGGTATGACTCTTACGGTTGAGCAGGTCTCAGCTGTGTCCCCCACCAAGAGACGAACCATTCGAGCACTAGCAAAGGCAGTATGTGTGTCAAAAAGTACCATTCACAGGATGATAAGGTGTGGGAAAATCAAGGCTCATACTAACCTGATCAAACCTTATTTGACAGAAGATAACAAGGTACGAAGGTTAGAGTTTTGCTTAAGTAAACTGCATGTAGGAAGTATGGAAACAGCTCCACAGTTTCAAGATTTGTATGAGTATGTGCATGTAGATGAAAAGTGGTTTTACATGACTCAGACTTCACAGAGAGTGTATTTGCATGCAAATGAGGAAAACGAAATGCATAGAACAGTTAAATCTAAGAAATTTATCACAAAGATAATGTTCTTAGCTGCAAGTGCACGACCACAATTCACAGAAGATGGGCAGGTTCAATTTGATGGGAAAATTGGCATTTTCCCATTCATTAAAAAAGAACCAGCACAGAGGAGGAGTAGGAACAGACCAAGAGGCACTATAGTCACAAAACCAGTACTTTCAGTGACTAAGGAGGTGTACAGGCATTTTTACTTCAAAAAGTCATCCCGGCCATTAAGGAGAAGTGGCCTTCTTACTTGAAGTTGTAAGGACCTTTATTTCTAAAGATAAAGTGTAGAATCTGTTTTTGAAGTTGTAAGGACACTTTGTATTCAAGATAAAGTGTAGAATCTGTTTTTGAAGTTGTAAGGACACTTTGTATTCAAGATAAAGTGTAGAATCTGTTTTTGAAGTTATATGGACCCTTTGTTTTTAAAGATTAAGTGTAGAATATGTTTATGAAGTTGTAAGGACACTTTGTATTCAGGATAAAGTGTAGAATCTGTTTTTGAAGTTATATGGACCCTTTGTTTCAATTGCAGAATCTGTTTTAGGTCCAAGAAGAAGTGCAGAACCTGTTTTTCAAGTTGTAAGTCCTAGAACAAGTGTAGCATCTGTTTTAGACTGCCTTGCTATGCCTAAAAGGGTGTTGAATGTGAAGCCGCTACGACATTTCTGTAAGAAATGGAGCAACATAAACAACAACAAACGACATGAATGAATGGTGGGGGTAGCACATACACACAGCTTCATCATTGACCACAACACATAGACTTATCGTAGACCACACATAGTCATAAGCCACATGTTTAAACAAGAACAAACACAGCACAGTGCATACCTTCACAAACAGCACATGAAGTTCAAAAGAAAAGCACAATAAAAAAAGTGAGAAGGTAGCAAACTTCACCAACATATATGAAGTGCACAAATAAAGTGAGAATATAGCAAAGGTACAGATTTCTCCCTTAGATGAAGAAGCCTGGAAACCATATGGCAACAAAGGCTTTGGTACTCGGGTCATGCCATGTTGGTGGTATGTTCTGGAACCAAGGTTGAAACTGAAGAGCATCTGGATTCCGCCACTTTTCCTCTCTCATGGGATTAGGGTCCGGAACAGTAATGTCCTCAACACCACCATGGTCTGGAATAAGAATGTCCTCATCAACTGCTGAAGATGCCGATTTGGTAATGGACTCAGGAACATCAAAGTTCTCATCATTGTCGCCATCTTCAGAGTCTGGAACAATAACATCAAACTCCCCATCATCGGATCCCTCTTCAGAGTCCGGAATAGTTCCACCATCAACACCCAAATCTGCAGATAGGCTGACATGGGACTCAAATTCATCAAAATCCTCCTCATCGTCGCCATCTTCAGAATCCGGAACAATAGTTCCACCATCAACACCCAAATCTGCAGATTTTAGGCCATCGGACTCAAGAACATCGTTGCCCAGATCTCCGTCTTCCTTTTGATTGTCCCCGTCATGTTTTTCGAGGCCAGAGACAAGGGAATTTCCATACCCCTCCTGTTTGTCGAATCCCATCCCAGATCTAGAAGATCAGTGATAAGAACTGAGAGGTTACGCTAGGTGAAGAAGATGAAGAGACAACGAACAATTGCAAGGGATGAGGCCCAACGAAAAAGAAAAGTCTAGAAATTAGTTGGGGGAGTGTAAATGATGTGGGTGGGATAGGATGATGCATTGGTAGGGTGGGTGGGGTAATAAATGAAATTAATGAAATTTTGTGATAAGGGTAAAATTGGAAATTTTATTTTTTTTGTTTACCAAAAATAGAAAGTGGACAAATATGGTGGGACGGCCTAAAAAGGAATACTGGACAAATATAGCGGGACGGAGGGAGTACTATTCAACACTTGATTTCGTCCATTGCCAATGGAGTTAAAAGAGTCTTTTTGACAGTGTTTTAGCTTTGGGTAAATAATTGACAAAATCAAATTTTCACATTAAACATTCCTTGCTTCTTACTTTTTATGAAGTTTTGAGAAGCAACTGCAGTAACTCATCCAAAGGGTCTAACTATAACAGCCTCTCTTTTTTACAGGGGTAATGTTGTGTACATCTTGACCCCCACAAACCCCAACGGAGTTGGGATTATATTGGGTTTGATATTGTTGTTTCAACAAACTTGATACTCTTGATTGCGTGTTGTGAAAAACTAAACAAAGTTTTTTTAAGTCCGTGTGAGACCTTTAGCACACATTATGGTCGCCACCCCACCCCTAGTTCTAAACTTTCTTCCTAGTTTGACTTGACAAGCTTATCAAGAAAATGTGAGTGTGGTTGTGGTCTATTCAGAAAGAGAGAAATAATATCAACTGCACCAATCTTTCCTTAAAAGATTGGGACAATGTAAAAGGAAAACTAGCAGAAAAATTCAGGGCTGGGGGAGTGTAATCTTTCCTTCAGTGTATTCTATTATGCGGTGCACCTTGTCGTGCTTTGTGCAAATGATACTTTCATTTGGGATGGTAAATAAATGACTGAGCCATTATCCACACTTGTTCATTTATCACTCAGGAACGGTTTTCTGATTTCACAGGTAGTTAATGCAAATGTATCTTTGAAACGTCTTGAGGAACTTCTTTTAGCTGAAGAGAGAGTACTTCTGCCCAACCCACCTCTTGATCCATGTTTTCCAGCCATTTCAATCCGGAATGGTAGCTTTTCGTGGGAATCAAAGGTTTGTTTTGCTCTTTGTTTCCTTCCGAATAGAAGAGTATTGTTGTATTCACATGTTAAGATGCTTATGGTTTTCCGTCTTTCTGGACTGGTTTTCATTGTCTGAAACTCCAGCCCTTTATTTGGGGTAGTTCTGAATCTCGGCTGTTTCATTTTTTATTTATATTACTTCTTATCAGATAATTCAGTATTATACTAAGAGTAACCTTATAGTCCCAATGCTCCCCAATCTCTAATAAAGAAAGCTAAGTTCACAATGCTTAGTTAAAAAGAGTGGTCTTTTTTGTACTTGCATGTGAAATATCTTGGGACTGCGATGAATTAAAGAGCTGTTCAAAACTCATTGCTCTCCCTACTTTTGTGTTTCATGGTAAAGAACCCCCTTTAAAAATCGGGTCCAATTAGTTTGAATTCTGAGGTTCGAACTATTGTGGGTTATGTGTATTTTGAAATCAAACACGCCATCTTCTAACCACCCAAGCCCAAACTCTAACTCATTTTGTAGCCATCAACACCTAGGATCAGAAAGTCAGAACCACCAGCCTACCACCATTTCACTGTAATTCATTTTGTCCTCGGAAAATCTCTCTTCATTCCTCATTATTTATATTGAGTGAAGGAATTGAGGAGGCTGGGAAATGAATTACAGTGAAATTACAACAGTGCATTTGAAATAAGCTCAATGGGAGGAGCAGAGCATGTTGTGCATCATGCTTTTCCTTGGCTGCTGAAGACCCACTAGGTTCACATTATTCACTGAAGAGATGCAGATTTATAGTACTCATATTCAATATTTATGTGCTGAATTTTTGTGTAATTATTCTTAATCAGTAAATAAAAGAACACATACCTTTTGTTTTAGTTGTTTTTCTGTAAATGCTTCTTTATCCTTAAAATAAGTGCGATTTTTTGTTGGAACATATAGTGAAAGATTGCTAAACAATATTTCCGTGCAAATGATAGGGAGAGAAACCAACTTTATCAAATATCAATTTGGATATTCCAATTGGTAGCTTAGTAGCAATTGTAGGTGGTACTGGAGAAGGAAAAACATCACTCATCTCGGCAATGCTTGGGGAAATTCCTGCTGTTACGGATTCAAGTGTTGTTATCAGAGGAACTGTTGCTTATGTGCCACAAATCTCATGGATTTTCAATGCAACAGTATGTGACTTTGTACCAGATTTAAGTATCTAAATTTGATACTAACCAGTTCAGTACATCCATACAATTTATACTGATGTACTTTTATTACATGGTTACATTAGTTATTAAATTTGTGGTCCTTGTATAATAGCTATTGACACTTCAACAGAATCTTTCCCCATCTTCATCCATTGAAATGCTTAGTATATTTTATAGGTGCGTGACAACATACTATTTGGTTCTCAATTTTCGCCTTCAAGGTATGCTAATGTGATCGATGTGACTGCATTACAACATGACCTTGAGCTTCTCCCTGTAAGTATTTATGCACACTTTTTATAGTGTGGCTTGTTATAACTACTCTACAATTAATATTATATACTACGTGTGTGTGTATAATACACACACACACACACACTGGATTGCATTCTCCGAACAATGTGTAAAACCCATGACTTTTAAAAATTTATTTTATTTACAAACTAGTATAGAAATAAAAGATACAACTTACATTTTTAAAACTACACCAAAAAATCTACAAAATGAGAGGTGCCAAGAATATTTTATATTATTAAATAAAATCAATGAAAACATGTAAATAAACATTTATATATACACACAAACACACATATACATACGTACACACGTATAAATATACATACATACATACATACATACATACATACATACATACATACATATATATATAGCTCTCCATCGTAAGTTTTTTTACGTGAACATTTTGTAAATGTTAACTAATAAATTTTAGGGTGGTGATCTTACTGAAATTGGGGAAAGGGGAGTCAACATTAGTGGAGGGCAGAAGCAAAGAGTTTCTATGGCTAGAGCTGTTTATTCTGACTCTGAGGTTTACATATTCGATGACCCCTTAAGTGCACTAGATGCTGACGTGGGCCGCCAGGTAGTCTTTTGCATTTTACCATATACTCTAGTTTATCACAAACAATTTACTCTTCATTCTACTTTTTCTTGTGTGCACACTTCTGAAAAACCAGTTATTACCTATTTACCTTCCCTAACCCCCTCTGTCTTAAAAAGGTTATCTTTTGACATTTTGAGGTCAAAATTGAAAAACTTTGACCACAGAATTTGAAAAGAATATATTGAATGATAATACAAATTTAATATCATTTGATATGTCTTGCAATGTACTTTTGAAGTATCATATTTTCATAAAATTTATTTACGTATAAATATAGTTATTAATGGTCAAAGTGTTACATGGGGAAACCGTGAAAGTACCCCCTGCGTTGTCACATTTTAGTCCCCCCAGTAGAAAGAACTGTCTTTAAATATGTCAGTTTTCTAGAATTAATTTTAGTTTTAATGTCAAGCCCTCGGCTTCATCCTTCCATGGCACAGTTTCCCCTCGGCTTCATCCTTC